CACACACACGCACACACGCACGTACGCCCGCACGCACACACACAAACACACACACACAAACACGCACAAACACACACAAGCACACACAAACATTCACGCAAATTCACACACAACACACACAACAACACACACAAACACACACACAAACACACACACACACGCACACACACACGCACGCACGTACGCGCACGCACGCACACGCACACGCACACGCACGCGCACACGCACGCGCACGCACACACGCGCATGCACACGCACACAAGCGCACACGCACAACACACACACACACACACACACACACGCACACACGCACGCACGCACGCGTGCGCGCACGCAAGGCGCACGCACGCACACGCACACGCACACGCACGCGCACACACGCGCACGCACGCACGCGCACACACACACACACACGCACACATACACACATACGCACGCACGCGCGTACGCACACACAAACACACAACAACACACACAAACACACACAAACTCACACACGCGCGCCACCTTAGCAGGCACATGCACGCGCGCACGCCGGCAACACACGCGTACACACAAACGCCACACAACACACACGCACGCCACGCAACATACATTCATGCCACCGCGACTTTCGTCTTCCACCGATTTGTTCCCCGGTTTCCGCTCTTGTCCCGTTCCTTTCTCGCGTACAAGACAAACATTACCCCGCGCACGCGCGCGCGCCCCTGCCCTCCCCCCCTTCCCTGGCAGAGCCACCCCGGCAACCCCCTCAGAGGCTGAAGCCCAGCCCCGAGGTTCCTTCAGACTCACGCGCCACGGAACCCCTCTTTCCCCTCCCCCGCGCCATCGGAACCCACGCCACCAGACCCCCCCGCCTCTCTGGCACCAATGCCAGGCTGGACGGGGGACCGGCCCCCCCCCCCCCCACGCCGCCACCAAAACCGACGCCGCAGGAACCTCCTTCCCACCCGCCCCCCCCCCCCCCCCTACCCCGGCAGAGCCACCCCGGTCACCCCCTCCCGTGGATGGGGCGGACGGATCGCGCCGCAAGTCGCCGATGCAGCGGCGATGCGGCTCGACTGTGGAGCCCGACTTTCTCTCGACGCGCGCGGCGCCGACGGCTGGGCTCCCCATGCTCCAGCCTGCTGTGGGCGCCCTCCGATCCCCAGAGTCGGGTGGCTTTCCCTGCTCCTTGCTTTTCCAGTACTATCCTCGCCAATCCACAATTCGGGCAAGTCGATGGGCGGGGGGGCCACGACTCGCAATCCATCGAACGCGTGCCGAAGTGCGAAAACACTACCCCCCCGCCCCCCCATCGATTCACGAGAGTCGATGGTGGCTGGGGGAGCTGGGGATCGGATGTCGCCACCTACTCCGGATCCCTTAAGAATCGTCCATCGGGTCCGATTTTTAAGGCGCATTTTGGGGAGGCAGGGGGGTCCGGTTCAGTAGGGCGTTTTCTTGAAGCCGACGTTCAGGGGGGTCCAGATTATTGGGGCGTTTTCTGCGCATGCAATTTCACACCACTTTTACGCACCATGGCCTTTAGAACCAGATGGGTTTTCGACACACGTGGGGTTCCACGCACTTTCTGGCCTGCTTTGTTGGGGTCGGGCCTTCATCGTTCCTGGGTTCCGTGCGCCTCGCAAATACTTTGCGGGGGAACGTGGATACTAGTAGCCCTTGCGCCCATCACGTTGCTCAACACTCTGGTCCAACCTCACGTTGGCAGCGGCGTCTACTTATCGTCACCGTTATCCCCTAGGTTACTACTGTCATGAACGATCGCGCTCGCAATGTTGATGGGGGGGGTCCAGAATATGAAGGCGCCCTCTGCGGAGAGGGGGTCCGGAAAATTATGTCGCGAAGGAAGGGGGTGTCCGGTTCTTTAAGGGGGGTGCCGATTATTCATGGATCCAGAATGCCGATGTCCGATGTCCAAGGTCGGGAAGGGGGGGGCATCGGACGGGGCCAGGATGAGGATACATCCGTTCCAGAGCGGTCCGGAATGTTCTCAGAGCGTTCTGGCACGCTCTGAGAAGGCCGCGACGCCGGGTACATCCTCCAGAGCCGCTGGATCCCAGACTTTCTCGATTTTATCCTCACCCAAATTTGTCCCCCGTCCTGGCTTCGTCTTATGGGGGGAGGCCACGATCGCACGAGCCGCCCCCTGCGCGGCATGGTGGGTGGGAGTGGCGCCGCTCGCGTGCCCGGCCGCCCGTAGCCCCACGCTTGCACGGAATTCTGCCCCTCGGACGCGAGCGCGCGGCCGCGCGGTCCGCCCGTCGCAGCCGGCCCTGGTCGTCCGCATCCGCGTCGGGCGGTCCTCGGCTTCGTCCTCGTCCTCGTCCTCGTCCTCCCTCCTCGCCTCGTGCTCTCTCTTCCGCCCCCCTCCGGACAGGGCCCTTCCTGCTCTTCTGCTTCTCCTTGCTCTTCCCTCCTCCCTCCTTCGTTCTCCCTGAACCTCCTTCCTTCTCCTGCTCCCCTTCTTTTCCCTCCTGCTTTTCCTGCCCCGCGCGCGATCAACGCGTGCGCGCGCGACCATGTGTTCAGCCCGTCACAACAAGCTCTGTCGTCCACAGGAAAGGTAGAGGAGTTGGAGGAGGAGATGGAGGAGGAGGAGGAGGAGGAGGAGGAGGAGGAGGAGGAGGAGGAGGAGGAGGAGGACGAGGAGAAGGAGGAAAAGTGCGGGGGAGGAGACGAGGACAAGAGGCTTGGAGTAGGTTGAGAGAGGTGAGAGGAGGACGAGGGGGGGAGGAAGGGTGGACGTGGAGGGTGGGGGGAAAGGGTACGATAACAAATCGATAAGATGATTGCCCTTGTGAGCCTTGTTGTTGGTGGCGTTCATCCTCCTCCTCGTCTTTCTCCTCCTCCTTCTCGTTCTCCAAGATGGGTCGGAGTTAGTAATCCCTTCGCTCCTCCAATACCTTGGCTTTCCGGTCGGCTGCAGTTCGACTACAGTTTCTGGTTGCAGCTTCCGGACTGGGCCGTGGCAGACAGACCAGTTTACTAGCTTCTCGACAACCACGGCTCGAGGAGGAGGAGGAGGAGGAGGAGGAGGAGGAGGAGGAGGAGGAGGAGGAGGAGGAGGAGGAGGAGGAGGAGGAGGAGGAGAGAGTCAGGATAAGCAGGAGAAGGCGGAGAAGATGACTTTGCGGAGCAGCAGGGGGGGAGCCTGCATTTTTCCCTGACCGAGCAGCTCTATAGATCCACCCGATTTCTCCCTCTCCCCTGCCCCATAAGGCAGGGCAGCAGTCAGAGGAGGAGACGGGTGACCGGGTGGGGAGGAAGGAGGCGGACATGCATGCCAGTGCGCCTCCGACTGCCGCCTCCGCCTGCAGCTCTCCGCCAGCCCCCTTCTCCCGCTCCTCGTGCCCCTCCTGCCCCCACGTAGTCCTGCCGCCTCCCACCCTCCCTCCCGCTCGCGGTGCCTCTGCACGGCGCGCACTTCGTGGCGACGTGTGCGGTCGCGGCTCCGACAACGACGACATCCTCGGCGGCGGCGGGGCGCTATGGCGGCGACGATCCGCAAGCGACGTGCGCCGTCGTCGCGCGGCTCTGGCGGCAACGGCGCCGGGCATTGCGCCGCCTCCTCGCCGCAGTCGCTCGCCGCCTTCCCCTCGCCCCTCATCCCTGCTGTTCCTCCGCAGGTTCCTGGTCTTCCGCCCTGTTCCTAGTCTCGACTGGGTTGATGGTTCCTTTTTATCACGAGCACGAGTGGCAGTGTCAGGGTCAGTTTTGGAGGTGTCTTGTGTGTCGGCTTGGCTCCAGGGCCGTCGCGACGTCTTGCATGGATGCTTCTCCTGGGCCCGAACAACACGACATGGATGCTGCCGAAAAGCTGGGTCATAGCCCAGCGCTACTTCATGTTTCTGAAGGATCTGGCTGTTCTCCTTGTTGAAAGTTTTGGTTTTTCTTGCATGAGGGTACAATTTCCAAGAGTATTTTCCTGAGTCGATGCCCAGCCACGCTCAGCAGGAACAGCAGTACTGTCAGACACAATATTTTGAACCGCCCACGCATCCATGGACTTTTCATTGTTGACTTACCTGTGCTGCAGTCTTTCGTGCCAGGGCGTGCCGTTACCAATCAGCACATAGCGAGTTCCTCGAGGTTGACCTTGCTTCCTCGCTCAGCCGTGTGGCCTCTGCCCTGCGTTTGAAGGTCAAGGCCAGAGGTCCGCAGGATTCCATTTGCCAGGCATCCGGCCCTTGGATCGGACCAGTCGTGTTTCTGCGCCGCCGCCCTTCTTCGTTGTCCTTGGGTGGCGTCCAGCGTCCACCTCTGGAGCGGGGTCCCTGCCTTCGACGCCGCGTCCACTGTCAGGCCGTCGAGGGCCTTCGTGGCCTCTCCGAGGCAAGCCTGCGCTCTGCCGGTGCGCTGCCTGTGCTCCTTCCCTGGCGTGCAGTGGATCACGGGCCGGCCGCGCCAACCTCGGGCGACGGGCGGCCCTCACGGGTCGAGCTCGTGGCGAGTCCTCACTGCAGTCACTGCCCCCGGGGGGGTGCGGCGAACGGCTCGTCCACCAATCCAGCACACCCCAAAAGGGAGGTCCAGCTGAAAGGGGGCGGTGCAATGTCTTTGGGGCAATTGTGTTGCAAGTGTATAGTGCGCCGGAGAATTGTGCTGCAGTCTACTGCAAGTAGTGTGTTGCACGCGGAAGTCCAGCAATACATCTGCGCCCCGGAATGTATTGCACGCCCCATTTGTATTGCAAACCCACAGATCGATGGCACCAGATCTATTGCTCCACCCCCTTGTCGCTGGATCCCCTTTCGGGTCAACCCTAACCAATCAGTATCTCTGAGTTTGTTTGGCAGGGGGTCCTGCCGACTCCGCGGCCAGAAGGAGCTTGTGTCTGGTCGCCCGTCTGCCCGCAGTCGCGCCCGTGCATCCGTCTTGCAGTTTCGGCTCTGCTCTCCGAGTGTGTTGTTTTTCTTCCCCGGCCTCCTGGCCCGTATGTCTCTGGCAGGTGGTTGGATCTTCTTGTGCCATCGCGCCCCAGGGCTCCCTGGCTAGCCTCGCCCCCCGGCCACTGCTGGCGGGGCCGCTGTTCGCGGATGTTCGCGGCGGGAGGGGGGGGAGGAGGGAGGGGGGAGGGAGGGAGGGGAGGGAGGGAGGGAGGGAGGGAGGAGGAGGAGGAGGAGGAGGAGGAGAGGAGGAAGGGGAAGGAAGTGGAGGAGAGGAGGAGGAGGAGGAGGAGAGGAGGAGGAGAGCGCTTCGGAGGGACACTTCTTTGTTTCCTTCGTGCCTGGGCCCCCTGCCTCCGACGCGCTGTCGCGCTTCTGGTGCGCTGCCACATGTGGTGGGCCTCGGTCCTCTGGCGCTGTTGGCCCGTACTCCTCCTCCTCCTCCTCCTCCTCCTCCTCCTCCTCCTCCTCCTCCTCCTCCCCCTCCTCCTCTCCTCCTCCTCCTCCTCCTCCTCCTCCTCCTCCTCCTCCTCCTCCTCCTCCTCCTCCTCCTCCTCCTCCTCCTCCTCCTCCTCCTCCCCCTCCTGTTACCAAAGCCTCCGTGGCCGTGTGCTCGGCTGCGCTGTGCCCCTCCCCCCCAGGCGGCGGCATCGTCGTCGTCGAGGTGGTCTTTGTCATCGTCGTAATCGTCGTAATCGTCGTAATCGTCGTAATCGTCGTAGTCGCGGTCGTCGTCGTCGTCGTCGACGTCGTCGTCGTCGTCGTCGTCGTCGTCGTCGTCGGCGGCGGCGGCGGCGGCGGCGTCGGCGTCGGCGTCGGCGTCGTCCCCTCTTGCCCGGCGCCCCCGCCGGCGCAGGAGCGGAGGGTCGGCGGGAGGCTGCTCGGAAGGCTCATGAAGTGACCCGCCACTCGCCCGCGGCTGCCTCCGCAGCGTGCGCTGGCGCGCTCCCGGCGCGCCGCCTCGCGCGGGGAGCGCGGCGGCAGCTTCGCCCGCGGCGGCCGCGCTGCCCGCCACGGCCGTGCGGAAAAGGGGCTCAGCGGGGCCACGGCCGCGGCGGCCGCATCGCCCGCCGCTCGGGGAGGCAGGTCGCTCACATGGGAGGGTCGGCTCGGACGAAGAGGGGGGCCCTCCTCCTCCTCTTCCTCCTCCTCCTCCTCCTCTCCTCCTCCTCCTTCCTGCTCCTGCTCCTCTTCCTCTCCTCCCTCCTCTTCCTCTTCCTCTTCCTCCTCGGTCGGGAACGGTTCCTCTTCCTCTTCCTCTCCCTCTCCTCTTCCTCCTCTTCCTCTTCCTCTTCCTCTTCCTCCTCCTCTTCCTCTTTCCTCTTCCTCTTCCTCTTCCTCTTCCTCTTCCTCCGCTCCTTCCTCCTCCTCCTCCTCCTCCTCCCTCCTCCCTCTCGGTCGGGAACGGGGGGGTCGAGATCGGAGGCGCGCAGCTGCTTCCGGCCCCGCCGCGGAGCGCTCTCCTCGGTGGCAGTGGCGCCCCCCGGCGACGGGCAAAAGCCCTCTGCGGGAGCGGGTTCGCTGCGGCCTTCTGTGCCGTGCCGCCCTGCCGCCCGGCCGTTCCCGCCCCCCTTGCGCCGAGAGGGCGGAAGCCGAGCACGACACCTTTTTGGAGTGCCGCACCGAGTTGGGGGGCCCAGCATCATCGTCCCGAGAATCCTGCACCCGTCTCACGGGCGAAGAACGGTATAACATAAGCTTTTTCGCTGTCGGGGGCGGCTGTCCCAGGGCGGCTGGACAGTTTGTACCCTCACGGTGGCACCGTAGGGGTATAAACTTTCCAGCCGCCCAGGGACAGGTGCCCCCGACAGCGAAAAAGTTTATTTTATACCGTTCTTCGCCCGTTAAGTCTCTGGCAGCTCATGCACAGGTGGACGACTCTTACGGAGCGGGCGGGACCACGACCGACACCAGTTCTTGCGCTGTGTCCCGTGGAGGGGAGGGGGTCTGGCGCCCGCTGGGCGCGACGGCGCCGTCGGCAGGGTTTGGCCAGGCCTCTGATTCCCGACGCCTGTTTTCTCCAGACGAGTTGTGGTTGCCGCTTCCCTCGCAGAGGGCTGGGCGCTGGGGGGAAACAAGTCTTGATCGACCTGACCAGGAGTCGCTGTCTCACCATGGTCTGGTAGGTAGTCACTGTCGGTGTCACCGCGGACTTTCCCGCTTGAGAAACGTCGCCCGCCCAACAGCGGCCGCTGTCGATTGCAGACACAATTGCCTGCGGGCATCCTATCCGGTTTTGTCCTCAGTCATGGGATACCCGTTGTTTCCGCTGTCCCAGGGCCCCAGGAGGCACTAGGTATAGGTATCTTTGGCCCCCCCCCCCCACTACAAGGCCCGAGACTATCCACATCCACTGCTTCCTGTGCCCCTGGGACACTGGCATAGTTTGCAGATCGGTTTGACAGGCTGTGGGCAAGTATAACTTCGACCTTGGCCCTACTCCCCTCCTCTCTTGATGATGTGCTGAGACAGGTGAGGGTCACCGAGTGCGTTCTGCTACTTGCAGAGTGCCTGCTCGCAAACGTAAATATGGAGGGGATCCCCCCCGGCGGATCCACGCCATTTGCGAGTAGTTCTTTTGCGAGTAGTTGAATGCACTTGTCTAGAGAGGCAGGGTCCTTTTCCCTCAGCAACGGGGCACTCATCACCG